CTTAAAAGAGTAAGAAATACAATTTTATATCATTATTGTTGCTATATAGTGCTGAGTCGCTTGCGACTCATAGCAACTCTATGTACAAGAGCCCTAAACCTTGCTCTATCCTGTGCCAACCTCATTGTCTCTGAAACAAAAACGCCCACTGCCCCAATCACTGTATCGATCCATCTCATCGAGGGTCTTCCTCTCCTGCGCCGTCCATCCACTCTCCTAAACATGATGTCCCTCTCCAAGGACCAGCCCCTCCTTGCAACATGCCCAAAGTATGTCAGACGAAGCTTCAGAATCCTTGACTCCAAGGAGCAGCCTGGCTTCACCTTCTCCAAAACAAAACTGTTTGTTCTCCTAGCAGTCCATGGTATATTCAACACTCTTCTCCAGCACCACAGCTCAAAGGTATCAATTCTCTTTCTATCATCCCTAGTCACTGTCTAGCTCTCCAATACACAGCATGCAATTGTGAAGACTATAGCCTGGATCAGGCGCACACCTTAGTCTCCAGCCTGATGCCATTGTTCTTCAGTACTCTTGAGAGGTCCCTCACAGTTGGCTTTCCCAATGCAATTCATCTCTTGATTCCCTGACTTCTGGTACCAAAGGTACTGACTGTGGAGCCAAGCAAACTAAAACTATGAACTATCTCAATCTCATCACCATTTATACTAATGCTGCCAATTGGCCCAGTTGTGAGAATCTTTGTTTCCTTGATGTTGAGCTTCAAAACATATTGAAGACTGCAGTCTATTATCACATTTAAAAAGAAAACATTCTCTTGACGCATAAAGGAAGTATGTGCTTTGTTAAACTCTATAAAGCAACCCGCCAATATTTCCAAATTAAAGCAAGTATCACAGTTGTGCAAAAGATATGACCTGTGTTTCAAACAACATCCTCACTAGACAACATTCACGGCCCCGAGTAATTCTGAGTGTAAAGGATAGTGAGGTAAAGCATAGCGCAGAATGAACTGCAGGGACTGGCAAGTGGGAAGGACCAATACATTTCCTAGTACAGATGTCCAAAAATGCCTCAGCAGTTAGTGACAATGGGATTATAGATCATATAAGAAAAAAATCTAACAACATTTATCACTTCCATATTTCTACTGACAGAGAAGATGTACTCTACACAGCGGAGACCAGAAAAATGAAATTCTTTCCTGGCTTCCTGGGAGAAAGATGGGCCATCTCTTCTCATCACAATTTATACCTTTAGAAACCAGATGGAAAATCACAAGTCAGAACAAACTCAACAGCACTATATTTGTGTTTGAGAGATGTCTCAGAAGACTGACCTGAGGATTTAATTCTGAAAAATTTGCCACTGAAACCCCTGTGGAACACAATTCTACCCTGAAACACAGGAGGTTGCCATGAGATTGAATCAACTTGATGAGAGCTAATTTCAAAGTAGATTATGAATACTTTGAAGGCAAAAGTTTCTTCTTCCTATTTTATTCTTCCATCTTCCAACATAGTGCAAAGTCTATGACAAATCCAGTCTGCTACTCAACTCACTGCTTCATTACAATAAATTGAACAACTCTAAACATTACTACTTACATGGAAAATACTTTAAGTGAAATAGATACGTAGAACTCTTTTTTTTAACAAAAAGAGTTCCCTTTTCTAATTTAATAGTGGAATAATAATAATAATAATAATACCAAACATGATGTCAAGGATATTGTTCAGGAAACTGTGACATATTTTGGATGAAATGCAAAACCAATATCCTAAGACTACAATAATTTATCATCAAGTGCAGTTGTTAGAATTAGTATTGATCCTTGGTACATTGTAACCAGAATAATCTTGTTATATCACTGTAAAATTCTCCCACTACATCATTTTGCTTTTAGATGCTCCCTTAAATTGTGTCCTTAGGTTTTCCAAGTATGTGTAGTTGTAACTTAAATTTTTTTTGCTCAAATTAGATAGCTTTTAGAAGATACACATATGCATAAAACACACAAATTATTTTGAAGTCACTGTATGAGGATATAGTTTTAAAAACTGAAAGGAGATTAATTATCTAATACAATTCCTTCATCATTGAAATAAAGTAACTGGGTGTTTAAAGTATATAGGGTTTTGCATTGCTAACCAAATGTTCACCCAACTACTCAGATGGAGTCTTCTGGTTGTTGTTAAGTGCCATTGAGTCAAGTACAACTATAGCAGCCCTATGAACAGCAGATCTGGACCCTGTCCAATCCTGCACCATCCTTATCATCTCTGATATACTTGGTCTCATTGCTGCAGTCACTGTGTCAATTCAGCTCACTGAGGGTCTTCCTCTATCTGACTCTACCTTTTGAGGCATGATGTTCCTTTCCAAAGAACAGCTCCTCCTAACAACATGCCCAAAGTAAATGAGATGACATTTCATCATCCTTACCTCTAAGAAGCACTCTGATTACACTTTCTCCAACATATATGGTGTGCCTGATACAGGCCATAATCTTTGCAATCATTTGCTATGCATCAGAGAGCTGGACAATGATTAAGGAGGATAGAAGGAGAATTGATGCCTTTGAGCTGTGGTGCTGGAGAAGAGTATTGCATATACCATGGACTGCTAGGAAAACAGATTTGTCCTGGAGAGGGTGAAGCCAGGCTGCTCCTTGACGCAAGGATTCTGCAGCTTCATCTAACATAATCTGGACATGTTGCAAGGAGGGACCAGTCCTTGGAGAAGGATGTCATGCTTGGGAGGGTAGAGGGACAGTACAGGAGAGGAAGACCCTCAATGAGATGGATGATTCAGTGACTGGGGTAATGGGGGTGGTGTGTCAGAGATGGTGAGACTGGCATAGCATAGAGCAGAGTTTAGGGCTATTGTACATAGGGTTGCTATGAGTTGCAGACAACACGATGGCAAAAGACCTGAACTCTTTCTATAACTATTGTCATTTCTCTAAGGTCATGGAGTTTTCAGAGGCATGTTGTTTAGGAAGTGAATGCCACTCCTGCTTCCAAATCTGTCTTACTCTAGGAGCTCCATCAAACACTGTCTACCATGCGTAACCATTATGGCATTTGACACTCTAATAGCACAAGGTTCAGCATCATAACAACACCAGGTTACCTTAGTACAGCATATTGACAGAAGAGTACTGTACCACTTAGAGGAATGTTCTTCCATAATATAATAATACTAGGCCCTGAGGACCAACAGACTTTTAAATACAAAGGCCCTCCACCAAGGTGGTATTGACTATAAACTAGAAGCTTAAATTAAACAAACAAAAAAAAAAAATAAACCAAAAAAAGGAAAAAACCCCAAAACAAAACAAACCCACAACTAAACATTTCACATGGACCCTCAACTAAAACAGGAGAGCCCACTTTTCAGAGTCCAGCTGCTTCCCCCAATTTCCAAAGTGAAGACAAGGACCTGATCTTAAATACAAAGGCCCTCTACAAGATTATGCTGATTCTAAACAAGAGGCTTAAATTAAAAACAACAACAACAAGATAAATAACCACAACCAAACATTCCACAAGGACCCTCAAACAAAACAAGAGTGCCCACCAGGTATAACATTTAAAATTAAATGTAAATGTTTTTCTAAAATTTATTTTCAATATAAATCTATAATTTAGAAATGGCAGACCTACCAATAAAACTACTTAGCTCAAATAATTGCAAACTTTTATGTATTCAGTGTTTTATCTTGACAGGAACTATTTAATGTTGTACTCTTAGTACTTTTTGACTAATCAGTAATATCGCCAGCTTACTAAAAAGAAGTAAAAAGTCTACTTAAACAATTCACCAAAGAAGACATTCAGATGGCCAACAAGCACATGAAGCAATGTTCAAAATCCCTAGCTCTAAGAGAGATGTAAATCAAAACAACTATGAGATATCATCTCACTCCAGTAAGAATAGCAAAATTCAACAGAACAGCAAACAACAAATGCTGCTGAGGTTGTCAAGAAGCTGGAACCCTTATTTACTACTGATGGAAGTGTAAAATGGTTCAACCATTATGGAAGGCTGTATGGAGCTTGCTCAAAAAGTTAGAAATAGAAATACTTGACAGAGCAATTCCAATACTGGGAATATACTCTAAAGAAACCATAGCTGCCACCTTAGTAGATATATGCACACCCATGTTTATTGTAGTTTTGTTCACAATAGCAAAGAGTTGGAAACAACCTAAATGTCCATCAACAAACAAATGGATAGAGAAGCTTTGGTACATTTACACAATGGAATACTATGCTGCATTAAAAAACAAGGAACTCATGAATCATTATACAAAATGGGTGACCCTGGTGGACATTATGCTGAGTTAAATATCGCAGTACAAAAAGGCAAATATGGCATAATGCCACTGTTATAAAACAGGACTGACATGGGGGTGGGGGGAAATGAAGAACAGAGGGGATAAATAATCTACACGATCTTGAAACAGATGAGGGAGAGAACTGTATAAAAGGAATATAAAATTAGGCATTATTGGCATGACAAGGGTCCAGACAGAATAAGAGCTGCACAGTAAAGTGGTCTGGGGGTGGGCAATGACTGTATAACAAAGAAAGAATATGATAGGGGTATGGGAGATGGGGAGAAAATGTGCAACAATGAGCAATTGGAAACCCAAGTTCTTTATAAACTTTCATTAAAATATCAATTAAAAAAAGGAAAAAAATTCTACTTAAATCATTTTCACTTAATTACATACATGTAAAATTTTATTGCTTTGAGTTTTCTTAGGCTTTAAAAAACTAAGATTGGTTTTAACTTACTTCAGATAAAGGAAATGTTTTTCCAGTTGACATATGGCACTGCCCATACTTATTTCCAAAATTAACTCTATATGGCAAGTTTAGCATATTTTTAGTGCTTGTGGTATACTTTTAATCTAGGAATCACATCAATTTGAGGTATGTAATTATTTTGTAATTTTACTGCCTCCACTCTATTCTATAGGACTTTACCTCTTGGAAATAGCATAATATTTGTTTGTAATTCACTCTTACCCTATTTGAGTCAATTCTTGCTCTGGAAGTGTAGATGGGAGGGGGGATGTTGAAGGCCTGAGGGACCAGGTACTCCTCAGCATCCATCATGTCTTCTAAATCCTCTTCATCTAACAGATTCTGAAAGAACTTGCTGTCATTTGGACTGGGAAGTTTCATACGATCATCACCCTAAAGGACCATCAGCAAACAAACACAAATGAATATAATGTTATGATTCTTTCCTTCATTTGGAATATATGTGCATTGTGTGTGTGTGTGTGTGTGTATACACACAGACACATGCACATATACAAATACATATAAGAGCTCTGGTGGCCTAGTCAGTAGGAAATTGAGCTGTGAGCTCAAGGGTGGGCAAGTTCAAATCCATCAACTACCTCATGGGAGAAAGATTTCAATCTCCTCCAGTGTTATTTAAAGCCTCTGAAAACTCACTGTAGGGTCAGCTATGCGTTGATAGCAATGCAGAGAAGTATATATAGAATAAATTTATATATTATATATTACATATTATATATTATACACATAACCAAAATAAGTCATTGGAAAAAACCAGTGTAGTCATTAATAAACAATCTTCATCATAATAACATTTTATAAAGAAAGAAGACTTATATAACTGGTTGTTTTATTGTTGTTTTGTGCTGTTAAGTCAGAACTCATTCATAGCTGCCCTCCAGTCAATATTCAGAGGCTTGTAAATTACACTGGAGATTATCCATCTTTTCCCAAACCACTGTGTGATTTGAACCACATACCCACAGGTTGTCAGTGCAATACCTTATGCACCAGTACCTTGCAATTACCTTACACACTAGATCAATAGAGCTGTCAACTAACAGATTAGATGTATTAAGGTAAATACCAAAGAAATACGGTAAGTGCCTATGGAAACAATGAAATCAGAACGCCAAGGGATATTTTGACATAATAAGAATTCTTTGGTTATCAAAGCTAGGCCTGGTTGCCAAGATATCATTATGTTATGACTTGATGACAATTTTATAAAGGAAAATAAATTTATCACTCTCTAATTTATTTAATTCATATGTTATTTTGTTTCGTTTCACCAAACAACATGTAAAATTGCCATGGCACACTGACTCTGTAATTTGTTCTATGGTATAAAAGGTACATTTTCAAAATGATGACTTTCAAAACCACTATACACAAGGGAAGATTCATGTTATCTTCTTTCTCACTATTTATTTTCTTGCTATTTCTTAAATACAACATTTTTTAAGGTTAAATAAGCATCATAGACAATATGAGTTTATGAAAGTTCATTTGAGCAGCAGCAGCTGGAAATCGTTAAGAGTATGTTTCAGGTCCCGCTTATTATCATGTTGGCCTATTGATATGAAGATAAGGATTCGCTTGTTTTGTAGGAATAAAAAGTCAAAATCAATGCAATTTTAATGGTTTGCATAAAAATAATCATAGAGAACTATATGACTATTGTTAAGGAATCAAGTCCTAGTTTTGAGTGTCTTCATATAAAAGGTTATTTTGATCTGTTATTTGATTCATATGTACAGCATTTCATTTGCATCTGAGTTATTGCTTGGATGCTGCATACCTCCCCAAACAAAACATAATTAAAATATTTAATATAAAATGAAATGTTAATATATTGAAATTTTTAATTCAGTATCTTCAAGTATGGGCAAAATTAAACTAAAATTTTGGTTTTGGATAGGGAATATTATGCTAATGAAATGAACAAAAACTTACAGATAATATTAATACAAAGAGTGTGAGAAGGCTTGTTTGAGGAAAGGAACATTTTATGTAAATGATAATCTCTGTTATCTGGCTATTCAATAGTATTGCCACTTAAAAGCCAAGGAAGAAGCTTCGAGTTGATCTAACATCAATTAAACCATTTACATATTATTCTGCTCAATTCATCACATTTAAGTTAGTAGTGATTCTCACAATTCTGAATCTTGAATGTTGTTCCTATTTCACAGTGATGTTGCTAGTGATATTTTAAAAACATAAGCCAAATGCACAAACCTGAATAACGAGGTATCTCTGAGGGTCTCGAGCCATCCTGGAGAATTCAGCAGCCAGTTCCTTGAATTTAGGTCTGCTGTCAGCATCAATCATCCAACCTAGAAATTTATATCAAAAAGAATCACTATATCCACAATTATAACAAGATTTAGACTATAAAAGCATAGGCTAAGTAGTAATCGTTGTTGTTGTTACAAGCTGTAGAGTCACCTGTGACCACAGCAACCCTGTGTACAACAGCTCTGAAGCCTACCCTGTTCGGTGCCAGTCTCACTGACTCCACACTCCTACCCCCATTGCCCTAGTTACTCTATAAATATATGTGTATTATTTTAAATAATAATGACCTAAAAACAAGGAAAGTAAAAGAATCCAACAGATGGGATTATCATAATCTGTTTTAAACATAAATAATAAATTGGAACATATGGACAATCTCTTCCCATGTGATTTACTTCCTCTCAAAACCCACTGGAGGGCAGCTATGAATTGGATCCAAGTCAATGCAACACAATAACAACAACATATATAAGTATACATCTTTTTTTTTTTTTTAAATTTTTGTGTGCGTGTACCGTCAAATCAGATCCAACTGGCACAGGAGGAGATCGCCCCCCCCTTCCCCGGCAGAGCATCTGGTGGATTCAAACCGTGCACCTCTGGGATTGTAGTTGCAGCTTCCTGCCACCAGGCCACCAGAGCTCCCCATAAGTATACATCTTGTTGTTGTTGTTGTTGTTCACTGCTGTCGAGTCAAGCCCAACTCATAGCGACCCTATGAACAAAAGACCTGAAGCCTTTCTATAACTAGCATCGTTTATCAAAGTTCATAGTTTCTAGAGGCATGTTATTTAGGAAGTGTATGTCACTCACAATAAAATTTATTTTTTAAAAATACTGATCCTGAAAGGAAAATTTCCTAAACAATGTCCCCACACCCAGTATTGTAAGAACCTATACTTTTGATCTTGTGTAAACGTTTACGTTCTAGGAACTAGCTGACCACAAACTGAACAAGCAATTACTGGAAAAACCATATCTTAACTAACATCAGCAGCAGATGGCTGACCTGGGACTGAACTTCTGCTTTTCTGAAGAGCCAATGAGCAAACTCCACGCCAAAGAACCCCTAGACCCTCTATAAAAATCCCTTGCTTTTTCCGCTAGGGGTCGACTTCCCTGTCTCCTGCGAGAGAGATACAAGTCGTCCAGGAGCTCCGCCAATAAAGCCTCCTGTGATTGCAGCAAGTGGTTCTGGTGTGAGTTGCTCAGGGTCACACCCAATCAGGGAAAGCCCTAGTTTGGGGTCTTTCAATCCTATTTTTAAGTAAGGAAAACCAGAGACTCTGGATTTTCATTTTTCTTTGATGTGAGAAATTCTTCTAGTGAGCATTTTTTTAATAGTTATAGAGAAGATAGAGACCTCTGGTGGCCTAGTGGTAAGAGGCTGTACTGAAATCCTGAAAGCACTGGTTCAAAACCACCAGTTGCCCTGCGAGCAAGGGATGGATTATCTTCTCTGGAGCAATTAACTGCCTCTGAAAATCTGCTGAGGGTCGACTATGGGTTGATTCAGACTAAAGAGTACACAACAACAACAACATAGAAAAAATAATTGATATATAATGTATTATTTCACATGGAAAGTGATATGAGGAATAAGACTCAGTGTTGGAGAATTAGAAAGCAACTTTCCCATGCTATTTTTCCCCTGTGTGTGTGTGGGGGGAACCCCAACAACCCTAATACAAAGTGATTGGTAATGTTTTGTTCAGTTATAGCCATTAGCTTATCTTAGTACTACCCTTTCCAGCAGAAAAATACTATCAGCAATTTTCAAGGTGTGCACCATTATTTAGCAGGGAGTCTAGATAAAGTGGGTCTTATCTCCACAGGCTCTTTTTTTAGCTGATCTGATGACAAAATAAAAATACCATACTTGTCTTCATTTTCTTGTCAAATAACTCTCTTCTAGGTATGAAAACTTAAAAAAAGAGCCAAGTAGTTGAGATTGTTTTGTTATTTTTGTATCATTTTGTCAAACCATGTAAGTGAAATTTTATGTCGTGCTAATTTTGAGTTTATTATACTATAACACATAAATTTTATGAATCTTCTTCTATAGACATCTACCAACTTAATTAAGCTTCTTTTACCCTTTTCTGAGGTTTAATTTTCATTCATGTTCTAGGAAGTGTTTGACTACCATCCTATGAACCATAAAATCGCCTTTCTTTTCTTTTAACAAAGTTCAAAGTTTCTATCCATACCTCTGCCCTAGATTGTTTGTGCATCCTATTTTTTTTAAATTTCTCATCAAGATGCTGATAAAAAAATGGGTGCTTCTGAATCTATTAGAATAATAAAAGGTTAACCTCACAGTGAGTTATCAGCTTCTCTCTAACTAAATGTTGAGTAAACAGAACTGTACTTACAGAAAAGGGCATGCTGACCTGGGCTAGAAAGCACATTTTTTATTTCTTCCCTCACTGTCAGAATGTATCACACATGTCATGAATATAAATCTGAATAGACCTGGGTCCAAAGTCTCTTATTAATAAAATGCTTATTCACCTTCACCAGTTGCTTCTTTGCTAACCCTGTAGAAATCAAACGTGGGAAAACCCAGATTATTCAAGAGAGATTGCTGCATGTTAATCTCACTTAAGTAAAAAGAAAAAAGAAACCCAGACACCTCCAGAGAGTTCTCTAATTCTATTTAAATTAGAGCCTTGCCTTTCAAAACATGTGTATAATACATATGCATCTGGGGCACAAAAAAAAAAGGAGAAAGAACGTAAGAGAGATGTAAACAAGCTAGCCAATTGGAAAAAAGTAAACATTATTAATCCTTTCACTCTTTTAGGTTTCTTTCTTTCATACTCCTCCTCTTTGGCCCACTACTTTCCTCTTGATTAAAAGTGCTACACACATTTCCATTTAGTCCATTTTTAAAAGCTGCCAATTTTTAAGCATACTTTAGGTTTAGATTATTTATTTAGTTTTATATTACCCTATATGAGTTTCTAAGATTACTGTGGTTGATTAGATGAGCTCTGCCGGCTAAGTGAATAAAGAATTGCTCTTCTACCCCAAAGGCAAGCGGTTTAAATTCACTAGCTGCTCCACAGGAGAAAGATGGGCAGTCTCCTCCCATGAGATTTATAACTTTTGAAAATCTGCTAGAGTCAACTATGAGTTGATTTTGACTCCATGGCATAAATCAACAACAATTATATTTCTTTGGGATAGACGATTAGATTGTCCTAGACATTATAAAGGAAGCTCTGATGGTCTAGTTGTAAAAAAGGTGCACTGCAATCCTGAGGACATGCAGTTCAAAGCCACCAGCTTCTTCATGAGTGAGAAGGATTGACAGTCTCTTCCTGTGTGATTAACTGCTTCTGAAAACCCCCAGTTCTGACTTGATGGCATACAACAACAGAAATTATAAGGAGAGTAAGAGTCATATAATTCTGACTACCTAACACAAAAGTATAATATTATTTCATATTAACAGTAAGCACAACAAATAAATGTTTATATATTCTTTACATAATTATTTATGAACTCATGTTTTTCAGTGCAGAGGAACACCATGCAAGCAAATCCATAGACATTATTATTTTTCTAAGAATGACAATGATGATGATTAAATTATTTTGCTGCCTTACATTTGACCATGACCATATAAACATCAATGGTGCAGATGGGAGGCTGAGGCAAACGTTCCCCCTTCTCTAGTAAATCAGGAATTTCTCGGGTTGGAATTCCATCGTAGGGCTTTCCTCCAAATGTCATTAGTTCCCAAATAGTGACTCCTAAAATGAAGAGCAAATTCTTAAGTAAGTATATGGACAACATACTTTGAACAAGCCAGCACTCTTTTGTCAATAGCAAAACCATGACCTCTAGAAAAAATATCAAAAGACCATGTGAAGAAAGTTTCTTCAGAATCCTATATACATGATAGCAAAGCCTAATCCCAAAGTCTTGTGGAAAATGCAATTTTCTTACCCTTATCTGGAATTACAAATGGGTTACAGAGTCACTATACAGTGAAGAAGAGAATACAAAACTGGTCCTATTCCGCCTCAGAATGTAGGTTAATGTTTATAAACACAAGTTACTTTTCACAGTTAATTTAAGTTACAAATGTGTATTCAGCATCAGATGGATACAACTGCAGGTTAAAATATGATATTGACACATTTTGAGATTATTCCATACCATCTTTACTACTAAAAGTTGCAAAGACTAAGCATAAGTTCTACACTTTTTACATTCTTGGTTTGAAAAGGCATTGTGACTCTTTTTACCTAACACACAGAGGAAACAAAGCAGAAAATAACAAGCAAACCAGTTGTGAAAGCATTCTGGCTCACAGTGGCCCTATGTGTGTCAAAGCAGAGCCTTCTTCCACAGAGGTTTCAACGGTTCACCTTGGGGAAACCTTAGATTGTCAGCTTTTCAGGTATCATAAAACACATTCTTTTCATTAGCACCTATGAAAGTTTGAGTGAGGAATGAATGGTACATGCATAACCTATAACAAATGAAATGAGGATAATGAACTGGAAGAGAATCAAGGATGGTTGATTCCTTAAATAATGAAATGGCTTTTCTGAAATCATCAGAGCATTGATCTTTACTGTCAAAACTAATACCTTATTGCTTGCATGGAAATATCCATTTCTGAAAATCAGAATGCTCCTGATTTTTAGCAGTCCATACTCTGGTGGCCTAGCAATTAGAACCAGTGATGCAATCGAAAGGCACGCAGCTCAAATCCACACCAGCTGCTCTGCGGGGTAAGGATAGGAAATCACCTCCCATACAATTTACTGGCTCCGAAAACTCACTGGAGCATCAGCTTTGAGTCAGTTCCAACTTGACAGCATACAACAACAACATATACTGTATAAGTCTTCATTATGACCTAATAATTATATAACAGTTATGTTTTTTATATAAATATTTGTAATTAAGAAACAGCTAGCTATACAAGATAGTATTTCAAAGTGAGTTTCAAACGATTCAGGTATATACATATCTCTTAGTGCAAATTCACCAATTGGCTCATGTTTTGAAACAACTATTGCCATTTGTAATTAATTATTTATTCAAACTGAAGTCTTATTTTTTTAGCTTTAAAGAGTTATTACTGAAGGTTAATAAAACTACAAATCTTAAATATATAAGTATGTGTAAACTTTCAATTACCTTTTATGATTACCTATTGCCACTAAGTGATTGTGACTCATTTTGACCCTAGAGGATAGAGTAGAATTGCCCCATAAAGCTTCCAAGGTTTTACATCTTTCTGGAATCCACCTGCCACATACCTCCCCCCTCCAGAGAGTGGGAGGGTCCAGACTGTTCACCTTTGTGTCAGTAGACAAATGTTTAACCACTGTGCCACAGACTCATGAAAGTTCCTGAAATAGCACTGTTAGAACTAGTTGGCAAACTGCACCAAGTAACACCATCTGAGGTGACGAAAACTGGACTGTATATAAAATATTTGAGCTGTGTTTCAATAGAATTGGGTTAGTTCTTACAGGAATATGCCTACAGTTAGTCATAACAGTAAAAAGCTATTTTGTAAGATGAGTTTACATGTATCAATATACCTACAAGGCTGCTACAAGTCTAAATTATGCATTTTCTGAACTATCTACTGCATTCTTGTCAGAGCTGCCATTATTACTCCATTGCAATGAGGCTCCCTATCATGGGGTTTCATCTGCAAGTACTACAGCATAAACTATAATCTTCATTGCTGCATGTACTTTCTTATAGTCACTAATTATATCAAAGTTTCCATTGTTTGACCTACAATATTATGGTAAATTGCATCAGAAATAAATTTTTGAGTATGAAATAGTTATTAATGGAGGAGGGGAAAGGCACCTGCTTAGTTACTGAAAAATGTAATTCAATGTGGACAGATTTAACAATTTGTTGTTAGTATTGCCATGATCTGAGAAACACTATGTTTTATCAATTTACATCTAAATGTATCACATATTATCCATAAGTAAAACTGATAATAAATATCACTAAAGTGTTATACTATGAACCCAATGGCAAGTGGCTCAAATCCACCAGTTGCTCCACACAGAAAAGGTGGGAAATCTCTTTTCCTATGACTTTACAATTTCTGAAAACCTACTAGAAGACTCGCTATGAGTTAGTTCAAATGCCATGGCATTGACTGACTGACTGAAGGATTCTCTATGGCTTGATATGGGAGGGTGACATGTGGGATGACACCATGAGTTACTGCACTGATGATACTAACCCTAGCAACACCACTGGTCTGATATTTTCTTTGTTAATATTTGCACACTATGTTTCTTATTTTAGCATAAATGTGTAGATAGTGATTCATTTAACTGCTTAATCTTTATTAAGTTCTATTCAATTTTGTATATTAGGGAATAATTCAATAAAAACACTAATTATAGCTCCATTCTCATGAGTCAGGTTGTAACAATTTGTAATAATTTTGCAATTTTATGTAGCAAGTCATGTTCACAGTTAATGAAGATATATTATTAACATAGCTATTAATGCAGAATACACCTCAACATCTCTTTCAGAAATTCCAATAAAAGCAAGACATAAGAAATTGCAACTCGAATAAAAGCAAGTAGAATAAAGATATAAAAACAACAATAAAAGGAAAAAGTAAAATTTCTCACTTCTTTAATAACAATAAAATTATATCACTACTGGAGTGATAACAAAAAGGTTTAAATATATGTGGATTGATGTAGAGGGGCAATCTCAGAAAAACTAAATCCTCTAAACATATATTGCAATCCTATCACTTGAAAATATATACATGGAAGATAGGTATTTATTTTTATGAAAATAAAGATGTGCCCACTAGCAAATTTCCATAAAGTACACTATAAATATGATTATATACCACCTTTTGCTTTCTATACTTTTGCAATAAACTATGTTATATCTTCAAATACCTTATGGGTAGGAGCTGATGGTCTGAGCTAAGTGTCAAAACAAAGCTAACTTCCTTGCTTGTTAATTGATATTTGTTTCTTTGTCTCCTAGTTTGTGCATTGATTTGTATCTTTTTCTTGGATATTATAGACTGAATAACTGAATTATTATCAAAAGATAAACCTTAATATTAAAAATATGACCAATATGGTAACATTTTCTTGTATTGCTTTGGTTTTTTTTAGTGTTATGGTTTTTAATATTTCATATGCTATTTAAACTTTGCCTGCAGTGGTTTACCTCATCTGATTCAGGAAAATAAACATCCAGAAAAAGACAAAGAAAATAATATCTGTGAAAGATTTGTTTTTTAGTTACTCGATATAATCCTGTTGTTCTTAGTATGACTCATAATGTCCTATCAACAACAAATTTGAGCCCTGTCCTTTCCTGTGCCATCCTAATCATCTCTGACATACTGGAGCCAGTTGCCATAGTTACTGTGTCAATCCATTTCTTTGAGAGTCTTTCACTGTTTCTCTACCTTCCCAACCATGACGTCCCTTTCCAAAGAATTGCTAGGAAGCCTACCATAGCAAATACTTAAAGTACATGAGACAAAGCTTTGTCATCTTTGCCTCCAAGAAGCATTCTGACTGCACTTTCTACAAACTGTATCTGTTTATACTTTTAGCAGTCCAGGAGAAACTCAGTACTCTTCTCTAACACCCCAACTCAAAGGAATCAATTCTTGTTCTGTCATCCTTATTTATTGTCCAGTTCTCAGATGACTAACGTTATTGGAATGACTATGACCTGAATTAGGCACACCTTAGTCTTTCAACTGACATCATTGCTTCTTAGTAATATGGAGAGGTCCAGGCAGCAGATTTGTTTCCTGATATCCTGAATGCTGGCACCAAACGTATTCACTATGGATTCAGGTAAGATTAAATAGTTTACACCTTCAATATTTTCTCCATTTAACATGATGTTGTTCATTGGTGCTGAGGATTTTTGTGTTCTTGATGCTGAGATACAATCCATATTGAAGCCAGCCATCTATGATCTTCCGCAGTAAGCATTTTAGGTTCTTCTTGCTTTCAGCAAGCAAGATTGTGTCATCTGTATAATGCAGACTGTTGATGAGTCTTCCTCTGATTTTGATGCCACATTCATCTTTATAGAGTCCAGCTTCTCCAATGATTTTCTTTGTGTACAGATTAAGTAGGTATGAAAAAGGAGTACAACCCTAGCTGAATAGAGTAAGTTATACTTTTAGCCACCATTACCAACCTCTTTATTGAAATAGAAATAGCCATTGTGTTTTTTATTTATGAGTTAGAAATTCTAGTTTCATATGGAATTGCAAGGTATTATTTAAAGATAGAAAAAGTGCCAACTCATTCTAACACTTGGATTTCAGGCACAAAGTCAAAAAGCTGCAAAATCGACTTAAACACAAAGAAATGCTGTTAACTATAAAAATTCCTCTTCTCTAGTTCACTTTAATTATCCTAGCATTTCTGTTTACTCCAAAAGTAGGTGGCAAATTGAAATAAAATTTGCAATAAGCCTTTAGTTTCCTTGCTCCTCCCCCCAGTTGCACTAGCCACACCCTCTGGCTATTCGCATTGAATTCTGGGTTATGACAAAACTTTTATGTTCTGATTGCAGAAAAGAAATTCTTAGAAGATTAAAAAAAAATGGTGTGTGTTTGTCTGTGTTTTTTTTTTTTTTATCCCCATTGTATTCAGGCTTATATTTTTTTATTTGTTGAAAATTATGAGATTCTATGAATTTCCAAAATAACTTTCTGGGAAGGAGGCGGCAGCTAATAGTATCAGGCAAGTTGCCTGCCATTAATTCAGAAGTATTACAGACAATTTCAGTGGGATTATTAGTATTGTATGTTTCAAGGAACCAGGAAACTGAAAAAGACAGGCAATAATGCAATGCAGACATTTGCCTTTTTGAAGGAGGATGAAAAGAATGTTAATTCCAGGGGACCTCTGGTGGCCTAGTGGCAAAGAGCTGCAACTACAATCCCAGAGGCGCACGGTTCGAATCCACCAGATGCTCTGCTGGGGACGGAGGGGCAGTCTCCTCCTGTACCAGTCAGATCTGATTTGACGGTACACTCACATAAAAATAATAAAATAAAAAAATTTTAAAAATGTTAATTCCATATATAAGATTTAAAAGTAAATATTTATTTCTAACATGATAAAATTATTTGGCTTAGGATATTTTACACAACTTGATAGCTTTAAAGGCTATCTACTGTCTATGAATAGATTTACTTACCATAACTCCAAACGTCACTCTGATGGGTAAATTTTCTGTAGTGTATACATTCCAGTGCCATCCATTTAATTGGCATCTACAGAGAAATAAGGTACATTTCAAAATCACTTAGAAAGTCATTGCTACAGATTTTCCCTAAATATAAGCTCCATGGAGCAGCTGATGCATTTAAACAAGAGAGCTTTTAGTTAACAGCCAATTGCTTTAATCACTAGAACACCAGGCTCCTTTCGGGCCACTGGCAGAATGAGCTTCACCTGTACTTGTACTGCCTTTTCTCCTATAATTTAATCATTAAAGTGTCAAAAATCATGAATTCCAAAGATAGCATTGTTCGGTGTCTCTGCTACAATGCTACTTCCTTTATCTTGGTTAGCCAGTATTGAGAATATGAGCTATTTTCAAAATAGGAGCAATACAAAAGAACATGAGAATCAGCACAAATCCATTACCTAAAAGGGGAAAAATACAACTCAACTCACGTACCCTGCTGATGATGGGTGAGCTGAATCAGTTTCAACTACCAAGGGCAGCATTCTATAGCTAGAATATAATTAGATTCTATGGAATAAAGATAAACACTTCTACTTTGCAGTTGAAAGCTTAAAACTAAATAGGCCTCTGGAATCACTAGGTTGACTGCTCACCAAGGTGACACCAAGGTAACTCTATGACAGAAACCTCGTATTCAGTGAAAGGGAACAGAAGATACATTGAAAGTAATTTCCCTATGGGCAAGGAGTTAGCCAACTTTATGGACTACAGACATTGTGTTAAAGAAGTAAGTTTAAATCACAGGTGACTTGATAAAGACTTAATGGTTACTAGGCATTTAAAGCTATAATGAATCTTGCTTTAGACAAATCCTACAGCTGTATGTACTTAAGACAAGTGAAGTCATGTGATTTATAGACTTCTGTGCAGTCTTAGAATTTCTTGGACTGATTCCTTTGCAATTTGTTATTACACAGACAAAATAGATGAAAAAATCAAGAATAAGACAGATAATGCTATAAAACAAAGGTTTTAAAATAAATTTGGGGTTATTTTCTCTTTTGAGACTATTTGAACATATATAAAATATATTCTAAGTGAGAGTCTAGAATGTAAATCAAAGCATTTGGAAATCTGCCAGTGAAAACTATAATATATATTTGGAAAGTTCACATATAACAAGGCACATGATAAATATATGTATTTGACTTGAGAATAACTTTGCTTTTATATGCATAAGGTTGTAGGTCACCATAGGTTATGATTTCATTTGTTTAATTCATTTGGTCTGATTATAACCTAGATTTCCTCAATGAGGACAGAAGGACTAACCCTCGTGGCCTAGTGGTTAGGAGTTGTGCTTGTCAACCCAGAGTCACACTGTTCCAAGTCAGTAGCTGCTCTGCAAGAGAACGATGAGAGATCTGCTTCTGCATAATTTACAACCTCTGAAAACCCTCTGGAGGGTCAGCTATGAGTCAGTTCTGGCTCAATAGTACATAACAACAGTAACAGTTAGGGAGTCATTAATGATTTTGACTTGCAGTTGAGGAGGAGACACAAAGCAGGAAGTATGGCATTAACTTAGGTTATACAGATGAGAGAATCAGAGAAGTAGTTATGAGAGGTTGTAGATGAAAAACCAGAAAAGAAAGAAGAGGCATATCCTGTACTCTGGAGATGGAGCAGTTCATATCTTTGTGGAGAAAGTCATACCATAATTATAATAAATAAGTAAGCCACATATTATGTTGTTACGTAACGTCAAGCAGAACTGAATCATACACAGCAGACCCTTCACTGGGTTTTCTCAGAGGCAGTAAATTGCACAGGGGGAGACCCATCTTTCTCCCTAAGAGCAACTGGTGGATTTGGACCACGTGCCTTTGTGTTGGCAACACAGCTCCTTACTATTAGGACACCAGAGCTCCCTGCTATATCATGATAGAAGTTAAACTTTTACAGAAACCTGATATGTCTAGTAAAGGAGTTTATGTTTAAAAATGGTGGTCAGGCTTCTAATGATTTTAGGAGAAAATATTGAACGTCTTCAGAAGCTTCACTACTATGTTTTTAGACTCAATAAGAAAAATTTTATGGCTTTAGATTGAAGTATGTAATATCCATCCACCTCTCCAACAGTGTTCTTAACAGTATTGGTCCTAATAGTAAAATCAGACACACATCCTTATCTTGGGCATCTGTGAGAAATGGAAAATGGTAATTTATGTGAGATCTATATAAAAATGTGTGTGTGTGTGTGTGTGTGTGTGTGTGTTTACCTTGATCCAGAAAGATAAGTGAATATTAGCACTGGGACTCCATAAACTCCATAGTGAAAGGATTACTGAGTTTTTAATATACAAGAAGAAGAAAGGACTTTGTTTTCAAGCAACATTATTAAAAAAAAAGATACTCACCTTCCCTCCATCAGCATTATATTCTTTTTCATCTCCTTCCAAGAGTCTGGCCAGCCCAAAATCTGTGATTTTCACGTGATTTGGAGATTTCACTAAGACATTTCGGGCTGCCAAATCCCGATGAACAAGCCGTCTTTCTTCCAGGTACATCATTCCCTGAAAAATGCCAAGTTCCCCGTCAATGATAAATTTATGCCTAGAGTTTTCTATCTTTTCAAAAAGGGTCTTTTTTGCATCCAGTTGTCAGTGCTTAGCATCCTGAAAAGAAGTGAGAATTCTATACTATCTTCAAAATAAGAAAAAATATAGACAAACAAACAAGCAAGCAAAAAACACACCAAAAAACCCAAACAACTAACAGAACTCTACAAACCACATTGGGACATTTTCCAGTACTAAATTTCTATGAAGAAGCATGACTATCTGTATCTAATTCAATATTTGGTCATTTTCCCCCTTTAGTTGATAATATTTTATAAACACTTTTATTAGTGAAATATGCAGTTATCTTAGTAGATAAACTGACATACACTTGAATTGACCCATATAGTCTTAATTATTTTCCCTCAACCCTCTCTACTTTGCCATCTTGCCATCACTTATCCACTCCAAAACAATGTTTATTCATAATCATTAAATGATTCTATGAGGATTAATGTAGCTAAAATCACTAACATAACTTAGATGCAGACTGAAGAATTAAATTATTCTTATTGCTTATGCAAACCATGAAGGATTTCCGGGGGATGTTTTTGTTGTCATGTGTCACCAAGTCAACTATGACTCATAGCAATCTTATGAACAATGGCTATGAACCTTGCCATATCCTGTGCTGACTTCACCATCTCTGACAAACCTGACTCCACAGCCACAGAAACTGTGTCAACACATCTCATCCAGGGTCTTCCTTTCTGGTGCTGACCCTGTACCTTTCAAAGCATGATGTCCCTCTCCGATGACTAGTCTCTCCTTGCAACATGACCAAAGTATGTCAGATGAAGCTCCAGAATCCTTGCTTCCAAGGATCAGCTTGGTTTCACCCTCTTTAGGACAGACACGTTTGTTCTCATGGTATATTCATTACTTTGCTCTAGCACCACAACTCAATAATAACAACATTCTATGTGATGACTAAGGAACCGTAGTGATGGAATAGTTAAAGTGATTGCTCACTGAAAGGTTTGCAGTTTGAATGGCTTTGCAGGAGAAAAACCCTAGCAATGTGCTCTTGTAAAGTCAACTTGAGACAACATGGCAATAGTAGCAATTAAAAGAATCCCAATGTGAAGTCACATAGCACATTTGTTGTTTTTGTCATGTGCCGTCGAGTTGCCTGAGACTCATAACGACCCTATGTACAACAGCCCTAAACCGCGCTCTATCTTGTGCCAACCCCACTGTCTCTGACACCCACCCTGATTACTCCAGTCACTGAGTCAATCCACCTCATAGAGGGTCTTCCTCTCCTGCACTGTCCCTCCTCCCTCCTGAGCATGACATTCTGCTCTAAGGATTGGTGCCTCCTTGCAACATGTCCAAAGTATGTCAGACAAAGCTTCAGAATCGTTGCCTCCAAAAAGCAGCCTGGTTTAACCCTGTCTAGGAAGAACCTGTTTGTTTTCTTAGTAGTCCATGGTATTCAATACTCTTCTCCAAGGCCACAGCTCAAAGGCATCCATTCTCCTTCTATCAACCGTAGTCACTGTCCAGCTCTCTGACTCACAGCAAGTGATTGTAAAGACCATAAACTGTATCACACACATCTTAGTCTCCAGAGTGACATAACTGTTCTTCATTTCTTTGGAGAGGTCTCGAACAGCATACTTTCCCATTGCAATATGTCTTTTAATTTCCTAGCTGCTGGCGCCAAGAGTGTTGACTGTGGAGCCAAGTAAATTAAAGCTGTTAGCAATCTCAGTCTCTTCACCATCAATTCTGATGACGCCAATTGGCCCAGTGGTGAGAATCTTTGTTTTCTTGATATTGAGGCTCAATCCATACTGAAGGCTGCATTCCCTGACCTTCTGCAGCAAGCTCTTCAGGTCCACCTCAGTTTCAGCAAGAACATAACCTTCGAATTAACTTTTAATAATGTGTCTTTATATAACATATCTTAACAAACTCATTGTCACTGAGTCAATTTCCACTCACAATGACCCCACAGGACAGAAGATAAATATCCTACAAATGTGCCAAGTCTGTAAATGTTCCAGAAGCAGACTGTCACACCTTTCTCCCAGGGAGAAGTTGCTAGATTTATATTTATGACCTTTGGTCCATAGGTGAATATGAATCATAGTACCACCCAGATTCTACTTAAAACACACAGGGTGATGAAAATCTATTGGTGTTTTACAACAAGAGGTATTTTGCTACTCCCACTGGCATTTTCTTTCCCTCTCTCTCATTCTTTTTCTCCCTCACTCTTTGTCTTTTTCATAGATTTTTTACAAAAATGCTTGAAAATAAAGTGGATAAAAATAATTACTCCAGTAGTAGACAAATAAGGATGGCTAAGCACTAGTCTTAACTAGTTTTATGTGCAATCAGGAAAATGAACCTCAAAGGTTCAATTAGATTAAGGTCACTGTATTTTAATTGTGGAATTAAGGGTAATTCCATATCTTAATATTTCAATGGGAGAAATGGTCTCCTTCAAAAGCAAATTCTAATTATTATAACAGGATGGAAGCATATTCTCATGCCAATTGCAAAGCAAGGCTGCTGGCAGTTAACATTACAAATGCTCGTATTTGAAAGAGTAATGGTTTCTGACACCAAACAAAAGCGGTCAAAAACAGACACATAAATCACACGGATCAAGAAAGTATGAAGCGTATATTTGGTGTAGTGAAGGAGTGTAAAGGAGAAGACTGCTTAAACAGCTTCAAGATCTAAACTATATAAATGTCCATTAAACTCACAGAGGGGAGATAGTGCCTGCTATGGTCCAGTCAGTAGAGGGAGATTAGCAGCTGGCATCGGACGTATTTTAAGTGTCTTCAAAAACTAACCCACAACTGGGTTTTAGAAAGCTTTAGGATTCATTCTTTTTTTAAAATTTTTAATTTTTTAAAAAATTTATTATTTTTTGTGTGTGTACCGTCAAATTGAATCTGAATGGTACAGTAGGAGATTATCCCTCCTTCTCCAGCAGAGCATCTGGTGGATTCAAACTGCGAACAACTGGGATTGCAGTGCAGCTTCTTACCACTAGGCCACCAGAGCTTCCATAGGTTTCATTTTTAAATATTGCTTTTGTTTTGGTGATATATAAAACTGAAAATTCTTTAAATAAGGTGAGTTTACAAATACAAAGTCTTTATATGACTTAATAGATGAAATAACTACACTATCTTGGAATTAGTTTTGATTCTTCCCAAACTAATTTGTGTATCTTGGGGAAAAAATGTACACAATTATTAATCTTTTTCTTTCCTCCTTCACATTAGAATATATAAAGTGTGTTGACAATGGGCCAACACATTATAAAGCATATACTGTGTGCTGGACACTGTTTTAGACATTGTTGTTGTTATTAAGTGCCGTTGAGTCGTAGGCGACTCATAGCATTAAGGAGGGGGGGGGAAGCCCACACAACAACAACAACAACAAACTGTAAGGCTGTGTACTAAAGGTGCAAGTTGTCAATTACTTGACTTTGCTCAGATCCACAATTAACATCCATAATAGCAGCAGCCAAGCTATTAAAAGACATTTTGCATTTGGAAAATCTGCTATTATGAACCTCTGAAAAGTGTTGCACAGTTCGGTGGGTGGGCAGAGGGGTGGGTGAAGGAAATCGGAAAGATCCAGAGGGGGTGTGGAAAGACAGGGTATTGGTGAACATAGTACAATGAAGATTAATTTTGTAAAACATAATAGGCATGATTTTATGAAACACAAAGTGAACTACGCATACTGTGAAATGCAATGTGCATGAACTAAGTAAGGAAATCAATATAAAACAATAATTTAAAAAAATAGTTGTAAGTTTAAAAACTAAGGTACTCCTGAGCTAAGCCACTATTGTGGTGGTGACTGGGTGCCATCGAGTAGAGTATGACTCAAAGCAACTCTATGAACTACAGAGCTGACCTGTCCTGTCCTGTGCCACCATGATTTCTGACATACTTGAGCCCATTGCTGCAGTCACTGTGTCAACTATCTGGTTAAAGGTCTTCCTCTCCTCCTTTGTCCTTCCATCTTTCCAAGCATGAGGTCTCTCCAAGGAATAGACTCTCTTAACAACACGTTCACAGTATATGAGATCATCTTTGCCTCCAAGGAGCACTCTGGCTGCACCTTCTACAAGACACACTTGTTTATTCTTTTGGCAGTCCATGGGATATTTAGTATTCTTCTCCAATATCTCAAAGGGATCATCTCTTCTTTGGTCATGCTTATTCACTGTCCAGCTCTCAGATGCATAACAAGTGATTGAAAAGATTATGGCCTGAATCAGGTCCACATTAGTCTTCCAAACTGACAAGCATTGGCCTCATTAATTTGGAAAGGGCCCCTTGACTATAGACTTCCCCAATGCACTATGTCTCCTGATTTACTGACTGTTAGGACTAAAGGTGTTTACTGTGGATCTGAGTAAGATGATCCAAGCCATGTTGGGTTTGGTTTTTGAGTACCACCAAATTAGGACCGACCCATAGCTGACCCTCTAGTGGGTTTTCAGAGGCAGTAAATCACATGGAAGGAGGCTGCCTGTCCTCTCTTATAGGGCATCTGGCAGATTTGAACTTTGCAGCTTTGTGTTAGCTGTGCAATTTCTTACCACTAAGCCACTGTGCACCTTTGTGTTAGCTGTGCAATTCCTTACCACTAAGCCACTAGTAGGAGCAGTGTTCACTTCCTAAACAACATGCCCCTGGAATATCTATAAGTATGAGAAATGGCAATAGTTTTAGGAAAAACTTCAGGTCTTTTGTTCATGGGGCCGTTTTGAGTTGTGCATGACTTAAGGACAATCAACAACAACAAGCCTAAGTCATCGTCTTTTCAATTACTCTCTTTGTATCAGAAAGTTGGACAACGAATAAGGATGACAGGAGAGGAATCAATGCTTCAGAACTGTAGCGTTGGAGAAGCGTACTGCGTATCTTGTGGACTGCCAAAAGAACACACAAGCCCGTCCTGGAGGA